GGTTGCCCTGCGTACTTGCCGCGGCCGGCCTCCTCCCAGGGCGGAGTCAGGCTACACGTACCGCCAATGGCGTTCTCGCCGGAGTGGTACAGAGCCACCGCGGACGTCGCAAGCGCAAGCGGGATGGTGGCGGCCTGGTCGAAGGAGATGCTAGGAGGTATCTACGTGCACAGGGCTGTGGTCAGATGCGCCCTTCCGTCGAAGTTCTTACCTTGATACGTACCTTAGCAGTGGTGTCTTCGTGCGCAAGGGCGTATTGCTGGAAGCCGCCGGACCGCGCACTTGCTTCGGATTCCCTCAGCCTGCAATTGCATCCATGTAGCGGTGAGTGCCCTGGGCATACAACGAACTGGAGATTAGCTCACACCCTGTCGCCCTTCTTGAACCTGGTGACACCTTCGCCGACTTCCTCGACCGTGCCCGCAATGTCTTCGCCTAGGATGGCGGGGTACTGCTCGATGACGATGCCGAGAGCCTGGACCTCCCAGTCGAACGGAGCTATCCCCACTGATTGGACTTTGACCAGGAGCTCTCCTGGACCGGGCTTGTAGGTGGGTACAGACTCGAGGACGAAGGATCCCTGCTTCTCTGGCAGGCAAAGTGCTTTGTGTTCAGGCATGTTGAGAATGCGGCGTGTTCACTGTGATCGTATACTTGAATATGAAAGCTACTACCCGATCCCCAGTGTTTAAATAGGCGGTATGTTGCTGCGCCAGACGTGGCAGTTCTCCGACAATCCAGCCACCTGGCAGGTATCCGTTAGTCTCGGGGAACGTTGAAGCGTTACAAAGCTGTAGGGGGCCGGTCTGCCTCGTCATTGCGTTCCGCTGCTGTAAGGTCGGCGACCTGCGCAGGCCGTTGATAGTTGATGGTATGAGACTGCGGGCAGTCGGCACTAGCGTTGAGCGTGGGCGCCTGAACTTGCTCTAGATATTGCGAACTTCGCGGCTCGAGGGCCACCGCTGGTGATTGAGGGCGAATAATACACATCGTAGTCCTTCACGTCCCATTGTCAAATGCTATTCTGGTACGACGACAGTGAAGGCTCGCCTGGAGTAGTGCTGAAAACCGCCTAACTTGCAAGGGAGGTAGGCGATGTACGGACTTGGAGGGCGGGCGTCGATGTTGGCCCCACGCTTGGCCGTAGGCTGGAGGTAGTGAATGCCCATGGTGAGAGAATCTGTGTTCCGCAGGGCTAGTGACAGGCACGGCATCAAGAGCATGGCTGACCACGACTCTCACACCTACTATGTAGGCTTGGCATGCGGCGCTGAGCCCCAAACTATGATACGGACTCGTTAGTTCCGAGTCGTACATGATCTGCGGGTATGACCGCAAGCTCACGACTGGGCCAACGAATCTGGATGGCTGGGGCTTAGGCATCATGGAGCCGTCGACTCTAGCTGTGTTGCATGTGCCTTGATGGTCTGGTGCCAGTGTCGGGTTCAATAGACGTCAATACAATCCGAGTGACATTCGAAATCATCGTCTGCGTGTAAGGAGAGAACGTGCGACGTCGTTGCGCTGGCGGTGAGAGCTCGGCGCTGGCGCCATCTCAATGCTCCTATATGCTCTTAGAACAGCCTGAGAGAGCGTAGGGGTTATGGCAGAGCCACTAGCCAGTTCCGCCAATGGCAGGTCGATAGCTCATCGACGCATGCTCATTGCCCGCGGGATATCATCTCACATATTCCGTCCAACGGTGACCTCACAGTACCGTATAACACACCCGCGCTACTGGACGTCTCTTCACAGCCGTCGTTTTTGCTTTCGCGCCGTGGCCAGCTCCTCCAGACGTTTCCGCTTGTCTTTGGCAGGGAATTGCGCGTAGGTAGGCGTGTTCTGTGAGCCGTTGGGTGTCGCTTCCGGTTGGTCTGCACTGTTGGATGGCCCTGCCACAGGGGCCTCCGGATTGTGTACAGGGAGTACGCTGTGAAAGTGTCAAAAGCTGCAGCAGCACGGGCGATAGAATCTCGGCTCACGACTCCTCCTCAGCATCGGACTCGAGAGTAGTCCCGGATGGCCCTGGGTCCTGTTGAGGCTCTGCGCTGCCTCTACGCGCATATGCGTTAGATATACGATGGCGCAATAGTCGCAGTGACCATGACTTACGGCTGTGACAGAGGCGATGACTCCGGAGTGAAGGCAATCCGCCGCTTTTTGCCCTTCGGTGTTATGGGCGGATCTTGGTTGACTGCTGGCGGTGTACCCGGTGGTTGTGCATTACCAGGCACATCAGGCTCTGGTTCAGGTGAGGTTGCGAGTGGATTGTCGGATGCGGTATGAACTGATCTGCAGACACTCATCAGTCGCTTTGAAAGGCGTCATTCCCGATTGCAAGGCATGCCTAACGTCATCCTCAGGCGGGTTGTCGTCGATGAATTCTTCCTCTAATTCCTCATCACTTGTGTCTGCTTGCCTGCGCAAGTCCATCTTCGCCCAGGCCTTTGCGACGTCGAGGAGGTCGTCCCATTGCTGAGACGCGGTGTACTGGACGAACTCGATCTCGTCGCGCGGACAGACAGACCGGCATTGCGGGCACGTAACGGCTTCCTCCCCCGGGGCTACCCGGGATATGCAGGACTGGCAGAATGTGTGTTCGCAGGGCATGCTGCGAAGCGTTAATACTGATGGACTCTTCGGCAAGCCTTTGCGAGACACCTACCTCACGGATTTGTTCACTTCAAGGGTGTCCATGCAAATGGGACACTCCTCCTTCTCTTCGATAGACACGGACAGAACAATGTCATGGAAACGGCGGAGCAGCTGTACATGCGTTACGTCGCGGTGCGACACAGCGATATGAGCAGCACCTACTTTCCTCATACGATATGCTGAGTCTCCTACGAGGAATTCACTCTCGTCCTCCAGTTCGGCGACATCCTTCTTGACTTCACGAGCCCGGAGCTACACACCAGCAATACCGTTCGGTAAACGTTCGTACTACAACACAAGCTACATACCTTCGCAATTGTCTTGCGATCCTTCCGTTTTGCCTAGAGTAGGTGTTGGGTGGAGCAATGAACACGTCAGCCCGAACAGTACAACATGCCAACCACTTCACTGGCATACCTTTTCTAGCAACTCGACCTGATTGTTCAGTCGCCTCACTTCGCCCTGTAGCTTTGCTACAGTGGGGCCAGCCTTCTTCCCTCGCTTTGGCTGGATCGACGCGTCCTCCGCCTGCTCGATAGCGTCGAGCCTCCGCTCCAGCTCGGCGTTTCGCTTTCGCAAGTCGGCGAGCTCCCGGTGCATGGAACGGACGCCATGCAAGGCCTTCGAAAGGTGCACCTAGAGAAGAAGCGCAAGACGTCTCAATTCACTTGGATTCGGTCATCTGCCAGCTTTAGGTTGACTCAGGACTGGCGGGGTAACAACTCATGGACACACCTCGACGCTAGGCTCCGCATTGCCGTCCGTCACTGGTGCTGAAGCTTCCTCAGTGGCATGATTGCCATTGTCCTCTTCTCTTACGTTGCTGGACCTTGTACGCATTGCGATATCGAGCAGCCGATAGTTGGATTGCTGGTGGGAGGTGACACGAATACTGATATGTAGACAAATGAAAGTACTGTAGCCTGCAGGCGACGGGCGTGGAACTCGAGCACAGTTGTAAGTCAGGTGACCGCTTCTGTTGCTCTAGGTTCCTCCAACGAATCGGTCCTCACCCCGATGCCCCCACCATAGCCTGCCTGCCGTATTACCTAGTAGTATGTCAGGACCGCGTCTTAGCACCATTTGCGTTTGCTTGTTGCGGTATATAAATGCAGAGTTCATCATCATCATCCAACGAATCGGTACAAACACGCTCCTCGGTACTGTCGCTTTTCACTCAAGGGAAGCCTGACGTTCTATGTGCTCAAGCAAAGTCGATGTGTGGCACGAAAGGTCTCTGACTACCTCACGAGTCTAACAAGTTACAATGCCCCATAGTCCTTGCAATTCAAGTTCATGCCGCATCCCCTATGCCTCTCCGAACTGCGCCTTGATCTCCGCCACGTATCCCTCTAGCGCCGTCGACTGGATGTCTGACAGTGAAGCGTGTTCTCCTGGTCCCATGCGACACCAACGCCGTCCGCAAATACATAGTTGTACTTGAGCCAGATGTTGCTAGGATCGTCTGCCAACTGCTTCCTCAGCGTGGCTACGACTTGAAGCTCCCTCTTGAACTTGATGCCCGATGCTTGCGCCCAACACGTCAGCCACCCACCTCTACGCAGAAGTCTGCGAGGAAAAGGTAGCTCATGAAGAGCCCGGTATAGAGACGATGGTCCGGTATAAGTAGAGACGATGGTCCGGTGCGTGCTGTTCTAGGCGTAGCATCTCGTCGAACAGCTCCTGCGAGCTGCCCTTGCCGATTGCGTTGTAGTCTACGCCAAACTGCCAGGGGAAGTAGCTCAGAACCCCCGCTTCAAGCACGGCCTGCATGACGCGCACCTAGATGCTCGGCTGCATGCCGTAGCCCCTGCACTGGATGACCACGTCGTATCTCTTGAAGACGGCCGCAAGCACGCTGACAGGGCCGTTCACGAAATTGCTGCGCTCAAAGTCCACGCCTAGCAAACAAACGCAGGTGCGCGTTGCTCCTCTGCTTCGCAGGGTCTCCGGTGGTGATGGACGACGAGCGCAGGAGTACGGAGACCTTGCCGCCTTCGCATTTGAGAAGCTGGAGAGGGCCTCTAGCACCGCGGTACCCAATTCTCCGGCGCCGACTACGAGCATGGTGGGTTGCCCGCAATCATTTGCAGGATATGGCGGAACTGTTCGGATTGGCGAGGTCCTGTTCAGTTCCGAGGGGGGCTCACGGTGCAGCTTGATAATTTCTAGTCCGACAGAGCTGCCCCTCGCTATGGACAGCGGTAAGCATCACAGATAGCGGCCTGGGCGTGCACAATACAGTGACGAGCAGTCGGAGAGGTGGAGGGGCCTGTGTGAGTAAAACTACACCGCACGAAGGCCAATGGTGCATTATTATTGATTGCCAAGGCATTGCTGGTATGGTTCCCATCGATTAGTGGTCAGATCATCACGTTGTGGTTAAATCCAAAACCGTGGAGACGGGGGCTCGACTCCCCCTGGGAACATTATTTTGTTGCACTCCTGGGCTCCATCCTTCAAGGTCAATACGGACGCGTACCGTGTCATTTGTGGACTGCGGGATCCATCTTCAATATCAGTGAGAGCGAACCTACATATAGCATCATTCTGCAGACTACCGCGTTCCATCGAATTAAGCGCGGACCCAGTGTATTGCTATAAATACGCATCAGGAGAACGGGTGTCTCGCAGTTATGCGCGTTACTCGCAGACAGCCGTATCCGAGTAAGTTCTCGCAGGAGCTCGCTCCAGAGAATTGCTTCTCGGCGCCGAGACTGGAGCCTCGGGCAGCCTCGGACGTCAAATTAAGACGCCTCCCGTGTGGCACATCACAATCCGAAATCTTCAAGATCGCGCTTTCCGCCCACTGAGCTTGAGAATGCCGTTTACACCCTTGCTCAGGGCCCACTACAGTAGTATAGTTACTGAATATGAGAGGGGGAGTTTCGTCTGGTTTTGAGCATAAATTGACCGTGCTTATATTATTCCACAAGCCCTTGTAATTGTGTCAGTTGTCTAGTATAGCCACGGCATTACAACATACTATTTGCTTTCTAAGTCGAGAGCAAGTGGACCCACATTTTGTACAGGTCTGCGGCGAGAGCATCCCCGGGGTTGGAAAATGCTCCGATCTTCGTGACAAATCCGGCAAGTGCACAGATGCTGCTTCTGTGAGTATATAGGATATTGTTCATGGTGGTGGCTTCAGTGTCGTGCACCGTGCACCGTGCATATGTGGCGCAAGATCTGTCTGAGATCGTTTTTGTGTGAGCCGTTACTGTGCCGTTGATCACATAAGCTCTCGATCCTCCTGTCATCGGCAAAGCATCTGAATTGGGCTCCCCAGAGAAATTTTCTTGGCGCCGAGTCAGAATCTCCTGTACGAGCTCTCCAGAGATTCCTCTTCTGGGCCGAGTTTAATTCTCTCACAGTAGCGCATTCGAGCCCTCACAGTTTCGAGGAAACCCTGATGCGGGCTACAATACTCTGCTCATACTAAAAAAACGAATCGTACTGCTATGTGAGTGTTCCCCTAGAATACGTCAACCAAGCCACGTCTGGGGGATGCGACTGCCACTGGTTTGCTAGTGATGTCGAACACATTACCTCGCTCATACGCTACGAGATCGCCGCCATCCTCATCCATCCACCCTTGGATATCCAACAGCTTCTCGAGGTTCGTGGTCACAAGCGCCTGGGCCTTCTCCCTTGTGATCCTCCCGTTAGTCTCCAAAGCAGCCTGTAATCACGGCTCAGAAGCATCCGGGTATGGACAGAGCAAGAGACGTACCCAGGCGACGTCGAACCTGGCATTTACGGGTTGCCACGCGTCACGACATCCGATTGCTACGGTGACGCCAGCATTCAGAAGTACCGTGAGCGAGGTCTCGTTCGTGAGAGGCGGCCCCGCCAAACTGAAGAAGCCGATTCAGCGTACAGCGACAACGAAGCGAAGAAGATGAACGTACATCCTACGGTCGTCCCATACTTGCGGGAAAGGCCGCGCAGGCTCGAGAATAACACCGGCCTTGGCTTCAGCTAGATACCAGCCTGATAAGTCGATTCTTATACCAAGGCGGGTAACTCACCAATCTCATCGGCGATGAGGTGAGCTTCCGTCGCACGGAAGAACACCATCCTCACGAACGAGCCCCTTGCTTGCTCGACCTCGATCTTCAGCTTCAACAAGACAGCCATGATATCTGCGCTCGCGACATCGATAACCAACGGTACTGTGCCCTAAGTATTGACCGTCAACTTCATGAATCACCCGCTGAGCCATCATTCTTACCTGAGCGGCTCGCTTGAACCAGTACCCAGTTTCCGTATCATCCGGCTCGCCGTTGAGCAGTAGGCGTCGTAGAATCGCGATTTGCGTACTGACACTCGCTTGTCCGACAGATGCAGATGGTGCGGTGCGGCTGATGACGACGTGCAGTGCTGTGACCTCCTTGATGATAGCACCCCGTTCGAGGGCATGTGCTGAACCTGTACGGAAGGTCACAGACAGCCCCGCAATGAACGCCGGTGAGGTGAAGTAAGTCGTCTTCTCCAGAGAAGATGTCGCGTACGTGACGCCCGCACGGTGCGCCAGCCTATGCCACTGCTGGTTAGACTATGAGACGAGCAGGCTTCAGGACGGTGACTCACAAGGCATTCCGCGTGCCGAATTTCAGCGCGTCAGCGGTACGCACGAGTCCGCCCTTGTCGCCGAGGATTGAAGGCGGGTCCCCATGCAGAGGGTCAAAGAGCGATCCATCTCCGGTCGACGACTCGAGCATGATCTCTTCAAGCCCCAGCGGCGAACCGAAGGTCATGATGCTAGGAGTGATGGCTCCTCCGTGCAAGTCAAGTTCGACTTCCGCATTCACACCTCCCAGGCAATGCTTCCCGATACAAGTAATGCGCCCGCCATCGATCACAACATCTGACGATTCTCCTGACGCAAGGAGGGTCTTGAGGCCGTCCACCGCGTCTGGGTCCCTTATTGTCACCTCTCCGACGTTCCTCAACAGTACTCGCCCTCGGAATTGCTTGGCCGCAAGAGGAGGTAGCCCGTCCCACTTGATCGCCTCCTCTCGTTCCTTGTCCCAATTCGGCACGTACGGTTCTTCTTGGAATTCGCGAGTGTCTTTGCCTTTTCCGATAATTATCCCGTCCTCGTCGGCGCCGACCTGCAAGATACCGTCAATCCAAACTTTACGAGGTGTCGCACCAAGTTGGAGAGGGTGAGAGTCCCAGACGATGACGTCGGCGTCAGCTCCTTCTTGCAGGATGCCAATACGATGCGACATTCCCGCAGCTCTCGCAGGTACGACAGTCACGGACATCAAGGCGAGATGCGTTGGAAGACCTAGAAAATGCGAGGTCGATACAACGCATGCGTACCGAGACACCTCTCTCACCCCAGTAGTGCGCTTGCTGCGCCTCATAAATCAGGTAGCGGCTGTTCAAAATCGGATGATCGGACTATAACAGTATGTCAGATGCGACACGACACTGCGATACAGCATCCTCACCTTCATGACAACAGGTATGCCGTTATCTGCAAGTACTCGAGGGGCGAAGCCAGAACCGCGGAAAGATTCACGCTTGTAGCGGTGGACCTCCGCAAACATGGCAACTGTCGGTGTGCCGCCCCAGCTGTTTCGAACATCAATACAGGCCCACTGACGGGGCATAACAGGTCGCGCACTCACGTTTGCTTCAGCAAATTAGGCACAAGCCAGGCTTCGGACGCATGGTGGAAGGATGCAATTGGGAACTCAAACTCGTTGGTGAGCTATTCGATCTGGCATTCAGCATACTACTGGCATTGTGGACGTGTATTGAGCAGTACGTACCCTGACCATACTATCGAGGTCAACTTCCTCGTAGCAATGCGTAGAGATCTAGACAGCGTGAGATGTCTGACAATTGCAGGCATGCAAGTGTCGCGCACCTTGACTCGACCTCTGAGTACGTCTACTAGTGCCTCCCACTGGTAACTTTCCGGGTAGTCCTGCCCCTTCAGTTCGTCCCATAGTCTTGCCTCTGCTTTGGCACAATAGGCATCCTGGGACAGCTTGACCTTTCGCGCTTCATTGTAGGCCCACCGGTAGGACCACATGGAGTCCATGCGGTTGCCGTATGCAGCCAGACTTTCACCGCATGCTTGCCTGCGCAATATACAAGTTAGCTCCGTGGTAGACGGACCAACAGATGTGTGCTACTTCAGGTGACGCCAACGAAGCGAATGCTCAGAATTAGAGGTCCCATTTAAGCTGTGTGGAGGCTCGAGGACCATGGAAGAGGGCGTTCGATCCAACGTCGTGCGCAGCTTGAACATGAATGCTTGTCCGGCTGTAATGCGACTCAGGCGCACTCGCGAAACAATGTGGTGAGCATGCATACCGATGGCATTGCCGCTACCAGGAAGGACCTGAACCGAGGTCACACCACCGGCAATAGCGAGTTGGAATGCATCATCGTGTGTGTTGAATCCGTCGATGCTCCTTAGCCATGGTAAAATAGGGCCATGCTCAGAGTTCACATCCTGAGCGCCATGGAGGTCGGGCGAGCTCGACACCCCAACATGAGAGTGCAAGTCCACTGAGGAAGATCCATTCAAACTGTGAATAGCGAACACTAGCGCGAGAGGAACATGCGCACCAAGACCTGGCGTGACCCAACTCCCCTTCGCGTCGATGACTGTTACCTCCCGCCTGCGAGCGTACAAAGCCTCTGGAATGTACCCAATGCCTTTCACCACACCCTTGTCAAGAAAAACATCTCCGTATACAATCTCTGTACCGTTCCGTGCACCCGTCCAGATCCTCGCGTTCTTGATGAGAGTCGGCTTGGTTCCCGGCTCAAACCTGTCGGATTCTTCACGAGCAAGGAAGTTCGCTGGAGGCCCAGGAGTCTCGCGTAATGATGCACACTGGGACAGTATGGCCTCAGCATTGAACGGGACATGGTGAGCGTGTTGAGGCGTCGCGGAGTGTTCAAGGAAGTTGTTACACGTGAGGACCGTCGCAGTCGCCACGGCAGTACAGAGCGCCAAGAGCAGCGTCCCAGGCACCGACGGACGGCGGCGGGCGTCGGGGGCACTCGACGAGCCCAGTTCTTCGTACGCCAATTTGTTGGCCATGGTGGATGTCAGCGGGAACGCAGGCTGGGGAGAACTGCGCCCCTTGTATGCGAGCAAACACGCCGGCGGCAACTCAACTCGAGGATGGACGTACCGAGGCGGCGAGGTTCCTCACGCATATATCGGCGGTTCCTGCCCGCGTGCTTTCCACGCCGGCACGCAGGGGTACGGTAGGCTTGTTGGTTTTCACCTCCGCGGCAGTTTCATATCGTGATCTCGGGAGGTTCGCACAATTGAAGCTGCGCTCGTCTTTTGCGTCGGTTGAAGTCGACGATGACATGTATACGTCAGACGAAGAGGAAGCTGCTGGACCTCTACACCATTCCTACTCCCAATAATGCAGCACCACTCTTT